TACGTATAATGTACTAAATGTCCCGCCCGGTCTTATCCGTGCCAATTTTTATTTATTTTTTTTTTACCTATATTCCTTTTTGGTTTTGACCATGTCAGTAATGAATAAAAACAAATAGGTGGAAAGTGGGTAGTCCACTTTCGGCGGACTAAAAGTATTCTGTTATAACATATATTTTTAAATATTAAATTACTATTTGCCTTCAGCATTAAACATTACTGGATACACCATGTTGAATGCCTTACCTTCTGGGTCCAACACGAATAATAATTTTTTGCATGTGACACGCGACAGAGCCACGTACAATTGACCATGGAAAAAAAATTGAATGGTTAAGTTTAAATCTGTAACATTTAATGTTTGACCTTGTACCCTATTGATGATCATTGACAAACATTGTTTCACGGAAAATTGTAGTCGGTTATAAATCAATAAATTTATAAAATTGAATTTAATTGTAGTCAATTAAAATCATTAATTGATTAAATTAATATTAAACTGGAATGGTAGATTAGTTGGTATCATTGGTATTCTAGGAACAAAGACCGTTTCCCTAGCTCCACAGCCAGTAAGAAACATACACTCAAGTAGACAGTTTTTTAATGATTTTATTTGCAATATTGTGTCATACATAATTTTGGTGAACGTATTAATGAAGTAATATAGGAGAACCTATCTTTAGAATTGATTAATTAATAACTCTTTTGTTTATTAAGTTAGAAAATCGATCAAACGCCATAAACCTTCTCCACGATAAGCCCTTCAATTTAAAAAAAAATCATAGTGATCGGTTCTGTAGTTTCCGAGAACATAGTACTCAAAGGTTTTCATTTTCACATTTATTTATTAAGATATACTTTAAACAGTGATTTTATCGGTATTTTTTAATTCTCTTTTCTTCTTCAGTCATTAAACACATGTATCGAGATATCTTTTACAGCTCCAGAAATTGTCCTCAAGAGTAAATAAATGAATAAGCGATTGAAATTATTATTTTTATAATGATAGTATAGATTGAATTTGTATTAAAATGCCGATGACAAAAACAGTAATGGAAAATTAAATGCATATTGTATTATACGCGCGGCCGTCAAAGGCAATCAAAGGTGTGTTAGGCTCGTGAGGGAGAGCGGCAGAATATATGTGTGTGAAAGTATAAAATATACTGCACGACACACTCTGGAATAAAATAAATATTATACCTATATAAATTATAAATATTATTATTCACATGCACATTCATATACAGTGTGTTTCATTCAAATATAATTGAATGTTTTAGCCAATATTTAGCCGAAATATTTCAGCCAAATGGATTTTGATCGAGATGTGATTTTTTCGGAGATCGGAATACCATAAAATACATATTTTAAGCCTATTTTTAAAATTGTTACATTATATACGCAATATAAAACTTATATTATCTTAAAAAGAAACATCTATTTTTAAACAACAGATTCGATTAGTGCTATTTTTTCAATCATCTTTATTTATCAACACAGTTTCTTTCAATCTCAAAAAATATCCAAGATGCATGTAATCATATAAAAATATACAATATATGTATATAATTTTTTTTCTCGATTTTTTGAAAAGTATAAAACGTGAGACGACGTATAAGTAAAGAAATTCAACTAATACACAATTTTATGTTGAAATATTTTGAAAATTTTAAAAATTAAAATTCGGTTATTAAGTTTAGTTTATTAAGGAGTTATTTTTAGATATGATTAACGTTTAATTTATTTAGATAATTTGTTTGTGTATTTAACGTGTTAACTTCAAATCAATTTTGTGTCAAAATAAAATTGTATTCGAAATGTTCATAATTCTATATTTCATTTCTTATTTGATACGAGTAAATCTTTAATTTTGGTAAAAATCCAAGGGGTACAATTATGGCCATGGATTTGTTTAAATTTTTCAATTGTAGCTCTATAAATCTAAAAAAATATGATTATTAAACTTTTTCTGTAAAATGTTAATATTTCATTTAATTTTATGTAGCTATAGTCAATATTTGTCACCTACTAAGCTTTAGTTTATAAAACATCTGTAAAATATATTCATCTACCTCAGAGGACTCTAACCCCACTTATCCCTATCGAACAGGCCTGCCAATCTATACATTAGTTTAAATTAAATTATGCATAATTTAATTATTATGCAATAAGTTACGACATTTTTACGGCAAAAGCAGTTAAAACAAATTTAGATACCCTTGATCAGATATTTTCTTCTATTCACGTATGTATTTTGATTGCAGACAACACAAATATGAAATTTAATTTTTATCTAAGTGTTAATATTACCTTAATTAGTTGCTTTTAGAAATAAACTTTGAACTTAACAAAGTTAAAAAATTTAATCGGCTTTTAATTTTAAAAAGTTAAAAAAAAATTGAGTTAACTTTTAACTTAAATTAGCAATATAAAAAAACATTTAAACTTCTCCGGCCTTAATTTTGGTACCATCACCGATATTCCTTGAAAACCTCCCATTTAGGTCTAATAACATTTGAATGAAACACGCTGTATACACAAAATAATATGCGTGATGCGTGTGACGTATATATAGTGTCGTATATTTTATTAGCATACGCGCGGTTCTGTATAATAGGTAATATATATGTACGTGTAGGTATCTATATGAAAAACAATTATTTCACTTTACTCGTCGACGCTGCACTTTTAATGGAATATATTCGCACGCTCGTATTATTCCCGATGATTTCCGTATACATATACGTTTATACAACGGAATTTGCATATTTTATGTATGTACGCGTGTTCAGTGTAACCCCTTCAGCGCCCCTTCACATCGGTATACATGTAGGTATCCCTCTACCCTCCGCCAGTACATAGGTATTTAATTGACGACGGCATCGCTGAAATTCGCTATTTTGAACAAACCAATATAATATAGAAACGTAAGTTAGCAATTTTTTCTGGACATTTTTAAAAATTATAAAATTTCAATTTTTATTTGCCTACACATATACATACATTTCACTAGCCCCACTACCTCCCCCTTTATTCAAAAATTAAAAAAAAAAATTGTATGTCAATATTTAGCATGTATAAGTAATTAAAATAAATTTGCATATACATATCCCGGCAATTCGTATGCTCTAGGCGTTTAAGTGTTATATCAGAGAAACGTATTTCCAACTTCCCCCAAAGTTTTTTTGACATAACACCTAAACTAATTTACGACCTACATTTCATATTAAAATATTTAATTTTACGAAGTCTAAAATTAAATTAAATTTTATAAACCGTATAAATATTATTTTACTAAGGTAAGAAGTAAGCATTAAAATTATATCAACACAGTTTGTTGTAAAACGTTTAAACACTCGTTATAAAATGTATAACAGACTGAGTCACGTTTTACATTTTGACTGTTATATACTTAATGATGAATTTTTAATTCATAACCGGTCGTATAATACACTTATCATAATACTCCAGGGGACGCATTCATTCTTTTATTCATTATTTTTGTATATAAATGTTTTATTTGTTTACTATATTTATTTTTACTGAATTATGAAATCATTATTTTCGTAAATTTTCAATTTTTCCCAATTTTTGTGAAAACCACTTAGGAAATCATAAAATGACTTCCTAAAGTAGAGGGTAAATAACTACAATTTAAATAATATTTATAATATGTTCAGAAATGGTGCCACACATACATATTGAAGCAAGATTTCTGGTAGAAATGTTTGTCAAAGTATAAAAGAAACATATATATATATCTTTGTAAAACCAAAACATTCTTCGCTATACTCAGAATCTAAAACACATATTTTAAAATATTTTTGTTCATGCATTATGTAACAAAACAACTGAACTTGTTTATAAAATATCTAGTTTGGTACTTTTTTATCTTTCAAAAAAGCTGTCAAGAATCTAGAAAAAAAATATTCAAAGTAATTACGACCTAGCGAAAAATTCATATCTTCGTACGACGTAAAAAAATCAGAGCACTTTTACTAACCGTAAAGTGTTTTGAGAAAAAAAAAATCTTAGCTAAACGATTGTATACAGTCATGCAATGATATAATTTTGCGACCGCCTGTATTTGCCGCCGCTGTGTCCCAAGTATTCATAGTTCACATATTGGTGGTATCTACGGATAGTAGCCAAACTTTTGGACTATTGGCATATTGTATAATCAATTTAATTTTAGATTCTGAGTGAAACGAACGTAATTTTACAAAGATGTTTATTTATTTTTTTATTTGTGTGCAACTTTTCTACCAGAAATCTTACTCCGATTTTTAAATGTAGCACCTTTTCTGAAAGGAAATCGGACTAGAGGGGTACTTTAAGGATGTCATATTTTGATTTTTCCTGGAGTATTCCTAGTAAATGGGAAAAGCCGGAGAAAAACATGAGAAAACCGTAGGAAAAATAGAAAAATTGATACAATATTAAATAAATATTATTAAATAAAATATATAATGCCTATGTAATTATTATATAATAATCTGACATATATTATATTGTTGAAAAATAAATAATATTGACCGATCTCCGCTCAGAATTTTTTTATTTAGCAATGATTTATATTTGCTTACAAGTCTACATTAAATTATCTTTATCCGATTTTTCCAACTTCTCATCTACAACAGTGGTCCACCCTCGTGCCAAGTATATCTGAATTTGTTTTAATTTTTGCTTGCTGAATGCTGATGTTCATACATCTTAAATAATTATTTAGTAATTCTCGATTTATCGAATTTAAAAATGTATAAATTCCTAAAATATGCCCTAAATATCCAAAAACACCAAAATATGTAAAATAAAATTTTGTATATAGACTCATTAGATCATGAAACACATTTTGGCAGTAACTAGCTAACTAGCACAAAAATGTCTATTGAAAAACCATGACAACGAAACTCTCCGCGATACAACTATACAAATCGTTAAATATAAAATACTATAATAAATATAATAATACAGTTTAAAAAATCTATAATCATCATAATGCTCAAAGGAAGTGATAATTCGTTGGGTACGAGGGCCTTGCCCGAAAAGGATAAATCAGTAAATATATCTACGAACTCGTTCTGCCAAATTTCGGACCTGGAGCCGTTTTTTCCGGTCACGTTATCAGACGTATCGCTTTTCGGCGACTCGGAAGTCGAAGCCGACGGCGGCCATAAGTTTCAACGTACGTTGGCCATCATCAAGCCGGAAGCCGTCCATCTCATGTACAAGATCGAGTGCGTAATGGAACGAAACGGATTCATCGTCATAAGGGTTCGCACAACAATATCTACTTAATATTAGACAATTCTCACTTACACGATATTTTAAAATATCTCATAATTAGTGTATTATAAGTGAATATCACACAGGCACACTATGTGAACAAATAAAAAACAATTATTTTGTTGATGACCAACGTTTTTAATGAGTTTTTTATAGGATTTAAGGCACGAATGACTAGAAAATACAGAGATTTCTATCGCGAATGTACTTCACGGCAAATTTATCATTTTCAATATACGTATAGGCTATTACAATTGGTTTCACCAATACATAAATATATAAATATAAATAATACTATATATTATTTTCATGTCACCCTTCAACTCAATAATTACCTATTCCCATCCTTTTCCAATAAGCAGTAATATATAAAATCTTCTTTTCTACATCTAATCAATAAAGCTGGGCTTTTAAAAAGCTGATCTGCATCTTGCTCCTCGCCACATTCATATTTTCTGTTATCTTTTATTCTCTATTTGACCACATTGTTTGCTATTCTTTATATCTCGTTTCATAGTCTATTTATCACATCTTCCATGTTATCCATGTTAAAGTGGTGTGGAGCTTTCTTTCGGATACTTTCATATCTATACATTGTGCTTTTTCGTATTCTTCTTCTATATACCTATTTTTATAACTTCATATATTTGTGATAACTTATAAGCCTTTAGAAAGATTTTCCTCGGCTTAAGTCGGCTTTCCGTGATACCATTTCCATATCAGAGATTTCTTATGTCTCATTTGTTTTGTTTTCTATCTGCCCTTGCTGCCGTCTCTTGTCCTATGTTTAGGGGTACTATCCTGCATTCTATTACACTTAGAATTGTCTTAACTGGGCTCGGCCTTAAGGTACGGTTTTCTAAGTGAAGTTGGTCACCACGGCCGACCTTCGACTTTACTAATCAAGTGTTATTTCCGTATTGTGGTTTTCTAGTAGTCTGGCGACTGAGCGTCGGCCACGGCGATCGACAATTATCTATTCTTAGAGTACATGTTCACAATCATACACAGTTTTTACGGTATTAACACTGATAACCGTGGTACGCATGTATTTGAATTTGATTATTAATGATTTTTAGGGAAATAGTAAACTCAATCACTCATAATAAAAACGCAGAGGGTAGATGCATATTATTATATTTCATAGTGTAAATTTCACATTTTTTAGTGCACAAAGTGTTTTATAGTCGGGAGCAAAATGAAAACAAAATTTAGGCCGGAAGATTAAAATTTACCCAGGCCACCTAAAAATACATAGGTACCTACCAAACAAATTTTAATTACATATTAATTTAAATCACAGAAAGAAGTGTTACGCTTAACCAGGGAACTGGTTGCCGAGTTCTACAGAGAGCACGCGCTCGAATTGTACTTTCCCCGGCTCGTCGACCACATGTCTGGCAAACCGGTGGCCGTGTACATACTGTCCAAGAAAAACTGCGTGGACGAATGGCGGCGGCTGATCGGACCAGCAGATGTACGGCTTGCTAGACGTGACTTTCCTGTCAGCCTGCGAGCCATCTTTAGCACGAAACATGCGACGGATTGTGTGGCCAATGTGCTTCACGGCAGTGATTCTCTGGAAGCTGCAAAAAGGGAAATCAGTTTCTTCTTTCCAAGCAGTACGTAAACACTCACAGTCGTGTCATCCCCATATAAAACTAAAATGCCCAAAAGCACAAAAAGCAAAAGCACTATAAGCACAGGGAGAGCTAATCCCTCATAAAATTATTTAACGTTCTCAAAAAACTATTTTCTATTAAAAAATGAACAATTACTTGTACTACTTCGGATTTTTAAGAAAAATAAGGAAATACTTATTGGGTGAGAAGTTAAAAAATTAGGATATAATATATCCTACTCTTCTAGAGTAATATTACTCTATATTATAAAGTAATATTTCAGTTTTATCTGTGTAGGCAATGAAATGATTTATCATTATAAATCATTTCGAAAAGTATTTCAAATACGGTTTGATATGCTTTTTATGATTTCCATCAAAATTAGAACTTTAAACCCTTTAAAAAAAATCATAACTACGTATTTTCAATACTTTTATTGTGCCATAAAAACAACTTATGATGAACCTTAAATCACATTTTCAAGCACTTTTGAAAATCTAAAAATTGTTATCAAAATAAAACTCAAACATTTCCAATGGGTTTAACTAACACAAAAATCACTAAAATATTACCACGTCTATAAAGGGATAATACGAATATAAATAAAAATAACCTGAAGACCTTGTAGAGGCATGCATATTTCAGGTCTCTACTCCTTAAGTTAATGATTAGAATTTAGAACAAAATTTCTGATAAAAAATTACTTAGACAGAAAAAAAAATGTATTAAAGTCCATTACATTTTTCGCTAAGCACAGAATCTAAAAAGCTTTTAATCTAGTTTATGCTTAGGTATGCCTCCTAATATAAGTTTTCTTCCAACGGTAATTGTTAAACGAAAATTCATAATTATCCAATAATTAAATTATTATTATAATAATTGTTTAGTAAAAGTAGATATAAATATTTTTTATCTAAATCAATGTAATGCATTTCAAAAAGTTTTCAAATCTGTATTATATGTTTACCCGGTGTTAGTCAATTTTGTCAATTTAGGACACTACCTATGTTATACACATTTATTACGCAGGTGCATTTTTGACGAACTAAATAGACATAAATACATTTCACCATTAAAATATATATATTAAATAAATGCCGGTCAGTCAATTGGAATCTCGAATTTTTTTAAAAGTTAGCACTGCTGTAAAACGCATATCAGCGTATCAGCCAGTTAAATCCAATTTCTTTATCGCATCCTAGCCGCATAGTGCAATTCGTTTGTTCTCCGTTACTAAGAGTTACGACGTTTGTCTGTTTTTTGATCCGGTATAAAGAGGACCAACTTTAGCTGGTCTGAAATATATCCCCGATGGATCCAAGACCACCCGGTATTCCACCGTACACCTCAGTAATGTTTGTTTTATTTCACTTTAGCCAGTGTCTATGTAGATTAATCTCCCCGTTATTTGCTAAGTTTTGTTACTTAATATCTCTGTTTTTGATAGATATATATATTTTAGATTCTGAGCTGAGTGAGGAATGTATTATTTTTACAATGATATTTATTTTTATTTATTTTTTTTGTGGACATTTTTTCTACCAGCAATTTTACTCAGATTTACAATGCTATACTGAATCACTTTTTCTGAAAGGAAATCTGACTGAGGAGGTATTTTAGAAAGCTTAGATTAGATCGTACAAAGTATGTCCGTATCTTTTTCTCTTATATATACCAGTTTGTTTAATATTATGTATAAATTATCATTTCCTTTAAAACCATGTAGTATCAGTTATCACGCTCCGAATCTAAAACACACATCATAGTATCCAAATCTAAAAAAAAAAAAAAAAACAGAATTTGATTGTCTTTATTATTTCAGGAAATATTGCAATAAATCAACCTCCATATACACATTTATATATGTTTAGAAATTTATCGGCTCAATTGAAAACAATAAACAAAATAACAAAAATTTATTACACTCAAATTTCGTTCCGTGCAATTGATGTATAGCTTTTTCTATCACATAATAATTATTTTTTACCTACGATTTTCGTCGCAATTTATATATGCCCGGGCATGGTCGATTTCTGCCAAAACGTACCTTTCCTTTCCCGCCAATTCACAAAATGAAAAAAAATTTGTCTAATATTTGAATATTAATGTATAATTGCTTACATTACTATTATTAATTAGATAAAAAAACAAATTAAAAATCATAAAGTTTTGTCTTTTTATATATATTGATAAAAATTGTGTTTATTATTTATTAAATACAAGAAAAAAATAATTTTTATTACTCATAACGGTTGTCTTACCAACATTTTGTACACAAAAAATATCAAAAATATAATTTCTTTTTTTATTATTGTTTAAGTTTAAACTTATTATTTGTATTATTATTATTATAAATTGTTTTTATAATACAATAATAATAATTTATGATACAATCGTCCATTAATATTCAAATATTAGACTAAATTTTTTCTTTTAGTGAAATAAGTACAATATTGGGGGAAAGGGGAATCGACCAATTTTATTATTTCGTGGAAATGAGAATCGGCCGAAAAGGGTACATTTTTAGCAGAAACGGGTAACTTCCATATTCCCGACACCCGTTGTACCTACATACCCTAACTTTTTTTTGACTTAGTATAACCTACAAGTCATTTAGGCTCTTCGCCTCCGTCTACCCTAACATATTGTTAATAATTTGTATGTATGTATTTTTTTTTCGCAATCCAAAGGCAAAGAAGAAATAACCGATCCAAACGACATCGCTAATTTTATACAGTTAAAACTGATGCCAACAATAGCTGAAGGTCTATCGGAAATGGCAAGAGAACATCCATTAGATCAGTTGAGGTGGTTTGCAAATTGGTTAAAAACCAAAACTTTACCGGTATAAGAGTCGAATTAATGTTGAAAACAACAATATCCAATGTAAATAAATCATTTTGTCATTAATTATAAATATATAAAACAAAAATTATAAATAAATCTTCGAAAGAAGTGTTACGCTTGACCAGGGAACTGGTTGCCGAGTTCTACAGAGAGCACGCGCTCGAATTTTACTTTCCCCGGCTCGTCGACCACATGTCTGGCAAACCGGTGGCCGTGTACATACTGTCCAAGAAAAACTGCGTGGCCGAACGGCGGCGGCTGATCGGACCAGTAGATGTACGGCTCGCTAGACGTTACTTTCCTGTCAGCCTGCGAGCCATCTTTAGCACAAAACAGGCGACGGATTGTGTGGCCAATGTGCTTCACGGCAGTACGAGCAGTACGTAAACACTCACAGTCGTGTCATCCCCATATAAAACTAAAATGCCCAAAAGCGCAAAAAAAAATTATAAATAAATCTTCATATTTATAGATTAACATACAACTGTTAATTAAATACTTTTATTATGTTTTGGATTTGTCATTGTCAGTAGTAAGTTAAAACTGCAGTCACAAATAAGATAAGTAGATAATTATATTATAACAGCTAGTAATTCATTCCCAAATCCCCATAGCAGGTATTACTAAAATACAATCTTTCACTGTATTTATAATTACCCGTAAAATATGAATCCTGGCTGTTAAGAATGAGCATTATTTTGTATTATTTTTAATTGTTATTACTTCTTTAGTTTAGGGTGACCATACGTCCCGTATTATACGGGATTGTCCCGTATTATACGGGATTGTCCCGTATTTCAACTTTGTGTCCCGTTGTCCCGATAAAAGTAATACGGGACGCATTTTGTCCTGTTTTTCCAAGTCCGTCCCGTTTTAATCCCGTTTTTTTCCATACCGTTAATTTATAATTTTGAAATTTATTTTATTATAAAATCGTTTTGTTTACGATATTTTTGTACAACATTATTCAATATAAAATATTAAAATCTATTATTTTTCAGGGGTAGATATTTTTAGATTCTTATTTTGATTATAATTGTTGAGTCACATTGTTGTCGGTGATATAAAACGTATATAATGTCATAATACCATAATAGTGTTACATTTTCGTATATTTTGATATCATTAGATTAACACGTTCAATGCCGTTGCCGTATTAATCTTTGTTTGTAATAGCCACACGGAAATTCCGCCGTGATAAGGCAATTAAAATAAAGAACAATCAAACTGGTCGTGGCCAATTCGTTATCCACAATATTATTAGGTCTATGTAACATTGTAAATGTTATTTGTTATTAATATTTATACTCCTTCAGTCTACATTTTGTCCGTCAAAATAATAGTGTTCAGTCGTAGTGGTGTCATTTAGAATATACAGTTTGTTAATTTTTTTCTCAAAATGCCAAAAAGGAGGTGTGTTTTTGCTCCTAATTTAAAATCCGAATTTCCTTATTTAAAAGATGCTGATGAAGTTGGAAAAGTGTTTTGTACAATATGTAAATCGGTATTTTCTATCAATCTAATCTAATCAATTATNTACAAAAATAGCAGAAGATCAACCATCGTCATCAAAATAAATATTTTTGTATACTCTAGAGCTGAACTAATTGCATCAAGTAATTTATTTATATATCAAAAACATGATACAGTACTCATTAAATTTAAATTTGTTTTTTTTATATTATTATATTTAGTTAGGCAACTTATACAATACATCTATAATAATAATTCTTAACTAGTTCACCATTAATATAAAAATAAAATTGTTTTCATGTATCTACTATGTATTGAAAAAATTATTCATCAGATTATTTTGTTTTTTGAAATGTCCCGTATTTTTATTTTATTTTTATGGTCACCCTACTTTAGTTAAATATAATACTAATTTAATTAATGACCACATTATTTTTATATAAACCTTTTTATAGACCTTTGGCGATGGTTAGCATCATATCAAATTTTTTTCCCACACCTCGTTTATATTTCCCTCGATATTCTATACAATCTTGTCTTTCATTGTATTAATAAACTCTTTTGTATTGTCTACCATTAATTTCCATCATCAAATCGTCAAATTCCTCTGTAATTTGTAATTGTGTGTACTTTCTTCCCACAACGCCAAAACTCCATGACCATCACCTTATGCTGTGTTGCAACATTCATCAGGTATTACTTTACAACCCTTTATCTGTTTAACACTTTCCCACTTCTACATAAAATACATATTTAATAAACACAATACATTATTGTACTAGGTATGTTTATTTATTAAAAAGCTATCTTAGGATAATGGGGACGGGTGCAGCCACTGTTGTAGTTAGAAAGTTGGGAAGGTAGGATACAAAAGGGAATTTAATATCATACTATGGTAAAATAATTAAATAGATATTATATATTTTCTTTAATAATATGTGTTTAATATTGTACCGATTTTTCTGGTTTGACACATTTGCTGGAACTCTTGTGGAAATCGAAAAATAACATCCTAAAACTACCTTTCCAGTCCGATTTTCTTTAATAAAAAGTGCTATCATTGTAAATCGGAACAAAATTTCTGGTAGAAGTTGTCCACAGAAAAAAAAATCGTAATATTTTACTAATATATTTCTCATTTTTCCTCAGTTTATTTTTTTTTTTTTTTGGTTTTTCACATTTGATGAGAAAATTCCTGAGATAATCGAACAATGACCCAATGATAAACCATAACTATTTTCTAACGAAAAAACGGTTTTAAGTGGAGTTCAGTTGATAGTGATATTTGCTGTTGTTAACAATATATATGTCATATTATATTAAAATAATTTAATAGGCATTATAGTATAATTATTTTATTATTACGGGTCGTTCGGACACGGCCTTTTGATGGGAAGATGTGCACGTGAGTTAGGTCTACAAATATTTTTATTAGAATTTAAACAAAACACGGTTGACAAGTTGTATTTATAAGTGAAAACCCTGCGACACCAACCCGGGTCAAGACTTAGTTGTAATTATCAGGTATAAGTACACTAAAGAAATAACTGAACGGGTTGGTGTCGAGTGTGCTCCTCCTCGTGTATCGGTGGTGGTGTAGCTGTTTCGGCTCCTGACCGAGTTCAGGTTCGGCCCTGTGGTGATGATTCCGGTCTCGTTATACATGGTGGTGGACGCTGCCGTCGTTGTCTACTGGTGGCATATCGTCCGTACCCGTACCCATTTGGCCTATGAACACGTATCGTCCATTGTTGCATGGAAACGTTATCGATTTAGCACACCCGTATAAATGGATCCAACGTGCGTACACTTAATGCGACGACCGATTTCATATCTTTTATGGAATTCTTAATTTATAATTAACAAACTTTACACGCGAAGGACAGAGTCCGTAACAATGTATTATTTAATAATATTTTTTTAATGTACCGATTTTTTCGTTTTTCCCATGTTCTTCCCGGTTTCTGGGAAACCTCGGAAAAATCGAAAAATGACCTCTTAAAAATATTTCCGAAAGAGTGCTATACTTAAAAATCGGAGCAAGATCTCTGGTAGAAAAAATGACCACAGAAAAAAAAACACATAAATGTCTTTGTAAAACCATAAACTTCTTCGCTCCATTTTCAAGACGTATAAGATGATAAAGCGGAGAGTTTGATAAATAATTTTAGGAGGATATAGAATATAGAAAAATAAATTTGATGTTGTTTGACTAAGGGGGATTAAATTAATTTTGGATAAAAGTGCAGGGGAGTCAATTTTACCAAACTGCAAGATTATTTAAAAAAAGATAAATCCGCAGTATATCTACGGTTAACAAGAATATGGAGTTTTAAAATCTTGCTAATTGGATCATAATTATGAGGAGCGTAAGAAATCTTTTATATGTAAGCTGCAAAATGCAAGAATCTACGTTTGACTCTTTCAATTGCTGTAGAATCAATAGCTGTGGAAGATTACCATAGCACAAAATATGGATATATTCGAGTCAAAGGCAAACTAAGGAACAGTAGAGAACTTTTATATAATGATTAAATTTAAATTCTAACGAAATTCTTTAGTCAAAACCGAGAATTTAAATAAAACTTGCAACAGATTTCTTCAGATGTGTAACTTTGAACTGAGAGTAGGTATGAGGCGAAATCCAAAGCCCTTGACGGAAACGATGGATGTTAATGAAAGATCATTAATATTATTTTGAAATATAATTGAATGAGAATTAAGAAAATAAGACATATTTTGACATTTGGAGGTGTTAAATGTAGTAAAATCAATGGACTCGCCCCAATCTACTAAACTGTTTAGGTCAGACTAGAGTAGTAAGACGTTGTTGTTATATGTCAACCTATAAGTGTTGGCTGAAACACTTCGTTATAAATATGCTGAATACAAGGTTAAAGACATCGTTTATCGACCAAATCAAAAGCCATGCAGCAGCATCAATTAAGATGTTATTAACTGAAGGTTTAATTGCATGGAAAACAAGTGTATTAAATATTTTAGCAATATGTGGTAGATTTGCAACAAAACGATAGTTCAAAACTTCCAAGGATCTCCTGTTATTAATAGAGGTAGAAAAGAGCTTATATTTAAGATAGATAGGAATTAATTCACCTTCATCGAATGTTTTATTTTTTATGTTTTAATTTATTTAAAAATATTTGTATTATATTAGATATGTATACTTAGTACCTTCCTATATTACTATAAAAATAATAAATTTCTTCTTTGTGGTTTTCATGAAGAAAAACATTGAATATTCCTTAATTTAAACTTAATATCTAGTGTTATACTATGAAATAATAATACAAGTTTGAGCATTATTTTATATCACTTTTACATTTTTTCATTAAAATAAATTGTATATAAAGTTACATTTAGATACTTTACCATAACAAATTATAATTGCTCTATGTAACATATTATAATATAAATATACAATGTGGTCATTAATTCAATTAATATTATATTTAACTAAAGAAGTAATTAAAATTAAAAATAATACAAAATAATGCCCATTTTCACAGCTAGGATTCATATTGTATGGGCATTTATAAATATAGAGAAGTATTGTATTTTAATAATACTATGGAGATTTGGGAATGAATCTCTAGCTAGTAGCTGTTGAGTATAATTTATCCACTAACCTTGTTTGTAACTGCAGTTTGGACTTATTAATAACCATGCCAAATCTAAAACATAATAAAATATAAAAATGTTTAATTAATAGTTGTATGCTAACTTATATAACCTATGTGAATATATTTACAATAATTAATGGCAAAATAATTGATTTTATTTAACAAAGTAATTGAAATCAATAAATGAAATATTAAACTATAATCGTATATCTTCAATACAGACGCATGTACAAGTGGAGGTTTTAGGGGGTTCAACCCCCTCCCCGAAATTTCATTAAAATTATGATGAAAGTGGAGTCTCATAAGTAGTTTCTGTCACTGAGGAAGATAAATACAATTTTGGTTTTATTTTTATTTCATTATTAGATAGTAGGTACATATTGTTGTTATTATTGTGATTTATAATTTTTTATAATTTTCCTGCTTTTAGAAAATTATAATTGATTCGGCGATATTGCATAGTCCGCATTATCAACACAATAATATAAATTACGTTAGTTTTTGTGAGGTATTCCAAGAAAAAACATTAAATTAAAAATTAGTAAAAGATACCTAAAAGGCTAATACTTAATGTTATAAAATCATTATTTTAAATGAAAAAAATATTCCTACAATTAAAAATGTGTTAACTTCTTTATAATAAAAGTATGAAAGCGTTCAACCTTAACCGCCCCGCACGGGGACCGTGTCAAAAACAGAAGGAGGGGCGGGAATCGGGGGGAGTGGGGTATAAAACTAAAAAAAAAAATTATTTGCAATAGTATTAATATGAACATTACGACCGTTATTCTATAGTAATATAGTATGTTCGCGCAGTGAGCTGATTACACACTGAGCGATTCGAATGCGCGTGTAAAATGCCGCGATTTTAAAACGCAAACGCGCTTTGCTCACACGTTAAGCTTAAACGATATGGCAGCCGCATGTGTTATGTTCGCGGTACACGAGAAATATGAAGAAAAATCAAAAAAACAATAATAAGTGAAATTGGTGACGTTGGGTTCATCCGTTTAATCCGAAAAGACCGAAAAAATGGTCCATCATTCGACACCTCGAGAATAAACTCTTCAGTGTCAAACATATTTATAATTATAAATGGACACAGTTCGTACGGAAATCGTACAAGGTCGAAGGCGCATATATCATGAACGAACGAAAATAAAACGCGGGGCGATTGCGGCGTCCGAATCGCCAGAGTGTTATCAATCAAAAACGGCAATGCATTGAAAACACATTGGAAAATGATCGTTTAATTATAGTTACGAAACGCTAAGAGACGTTCGATATTAAACACGCGCGTTTCGAATCGCCCAGTGCGCAATCCGCTTTTACTGTGGGCGCATTTATCTATTCCGAGAATTGTGGCACTGCAACTGGGCATCGACCCGATGAATACGGGCGAGTATCTACACCACGAATTGCCGATAGTAAAACCAATCAAGTACATACACGTATAATATTATGTGTTACCTATATAATATCACATTATTTCTCGATACGTTTCACACCGGTGGAAATATGCGCACAGTTCGTTCACGTATGGGTAAATTCGTTAATGTTAAGACTTGTATTTATTTTATTCCAAATACAAATTTATCCAATCAAAACAACACTTACAGGAACAGGTATACCTACACAGAAACGTCGATAAAATACCAGGTAGTTGGTATCTGTCACGAATTTACCACATAATACTATTTATACTTCACTGGTAAATATTGTCCATAGGTATGCGTTTATTTTCATTTTTACGTAATGAAATATCGATGTAAAATTACCAGCTATCCCGTTTATACAATAGAACTGCTTAACGTTGTGTACAGCTTTGTTAACTATCAAATGCCCAAATGCTCTATTCTGATCGTAAAAATACAAATGTACAATAACTGTGTATATCTAATTATTCTACTGTAAACTGTTCAACAAAATGTCAAAATATCAACTATTGGTAACAATTAACAGTCATTAACACGGTTTAAAATTTTAGTTACGGCTCGTGAAAAAAAACAAGAAATATATATTTTTTTTTTCTTCCCGAGCCCGGATAAGCTTTTTGCTTATCATATTATGTCTATGTAATATTTCCTCTGGGCGCGGTCTACTGACCACTAGTTCCATGATGTAATTAACGTGGTATGATAGCAATTTCAACGAAAATGAGATCCTACTGAGTGTATAAACAATATTTTATCAACTATGCTATGAAACATGAGGTCACTGTGTCCAAATTATATTCAAAATCGAAAAAAAGACGGCAATATTATAATTTATTAAAATAAGACTATTTTCGTATATATAAGTATGTATAATATGTGCATATTGTATACATAAACAGAGTGATTTTTCATCACGCAACACTAATTATTTCACAAAGTATATTTCCATAGAGTAGGTTAATAATAACTACTACTAAATATAACTCATAGGGTAATTTAAACTTTTCCAAAATTAGATCAAGAACACAGAACCATCTTCTAACATGTTTCAAATATATGAAATTAATTAATATTTATTAAATTAGTGATAACAACGTATTGTGATAATAGGCGACGGACCAAATGACGTAGACACCATGCGCAGAACTCTGTTGCTGTCATACCATGTAATGCATCATGAGTAGTTCCAGATGAGCTAGTATCGTTTTCTACTACATTCTACATATTATAATCAGTAATTATAATTAACAATTAAATTACATAACTCGGTCATTTAACACTTATCGGTGGATTTAGTAGATCGATATTATTATTATTACGGGCTTATAGCATTACGCCTTAGACCATTCACAATTTATGGAATCATTCGAACAATTTGTGATGCCAACAAAATAGTTAAGAACTCAGTGATATGCGCGGTTTCTAAACAATCGCGCATCCGCAGATCGCAGATGTCACATATCCTACTATTGGTTGACTTCAACTAATTCTATAGGTGTGATATACTAATATTCGATGACTCCATTCATTGTATATGATCTAAACATTACGCATTATTTTAATCTCGATAACGTAATAAATCCAAAAAATGATAATGTGTTTTGTAATAAACGTAAATAAATAATCTATTAATTAAACTATAATACTATCCGAAAATTAAAATAAGTTCACAAACATGATTTAATATTACAATCACAGATATTATCAATATTATCAGACAAATATTATTATCTCTAAGAACAAAGAATAACAAAATTCAAGTCATGTAGGAAACAATTAAATTTTAATCGGTTTACAAAATGTTCACTAAATTGATTTAATATTATGGATATAAACGGGTGTACCTAATAGATATTAAGTTAAACTGTTTTAATACATTTTTTAAAGGGTTTCATTTCAAACAGTTTTAACGCCATCATATAAGCGTACTAATTAACACTGTACACATTATACAGTATAAATGTAAATAAACAGTAACGATTTGGAGCGAAGTTTCTAACAAACATGTACGCTAATTGTCCCGTTTTTCCCAATTATTATAAAAACCGGTTGGAAAATCAAAAAATAACCTCTCTTAAGTAGGTACCAACTAAATAAACCAGATAAACAGAGAAACAAACGATTTTAAATCTTTAAATTTTTAAATTTTTACAAATAAAACAAGGTAAATTTAAAAATATAATATACCTAGGTAGGTACCTTCTAAACACTAACATTTTTTATTAAAATTTGTCTAATACTTAAAAATAATTTAATCCAAATCCTCAAAATATTAACTTAATACGAAGTCCGACTTCAAAAACGCCGATTTGTTATTCAAAACCGCGTCGGGTAGGTAACGTAACAAGGCAGAGGAAAAAACGACAAATGATAATGGCAGAAATTCTATTTACGTATGAGTCGCAGGTGTAAAGTTCCGCGTATTCTGTATAAAATATTTAAATGCGTAATAATATTATTAAAAGTACATACGTACAGTCTTAAAATTTCTGATAAATTCTAAAAACGGGCAACAATTTTCGCAAATATTTTTTAATTCTTTGCCTTGAAACATACATTAAAAAAAAAAAAAAAATCAAAAAACAAATAAATGGTGCTAAACTACATTTATGCCGGTTTATTTTTTAAAAAATCAGATAGAATCACTATTGAAAATAAGTATTTTTTATTTTTTTTTTTTTTTATTAAATCGTGGAATAAAGTGCAGTTGAGAAAAAAAAATACCTAGCTATGCATCACGGCCGACTATAAAACCTACAAGTCTGCATTTACTTCATACTGTGAATTTATATTTCATTTTTTAGCATTAAACACTATATTCCATTGAAGATTAGACAAATTAGAAAAAAAAAGAAAGCGTTCCCGTTTTTTTGAAGTAATAGTTCCTAGTACTCACCAGTCACAAATGTTACTGAATGTATAATTTGAATATTCGACTCAAAAACCGCTGATTTTCAGTCTTAACGAACGACACCACGACCGCGCACTATACGATAATATTGTCGAAGGCACTTGTGCTGTTTTACGACGAGTACGCGCGAAACACTCGTAAACGAAGCCGAGCGGAAACTAAAAAGAGTGAAAAGTGAGCCCCGGAGCTACGGATCTTCAGAGCTTCATCCGCGACATCGGCGATCTAATTGGACAACGGTGCCCTCATCAAACCAATAAACGAGTTGCACGTGACCGTTGGCGTCGCGCTAGGGCCAGATTGGCTACCGAACCACGGATTTAAAATTTGGGCTAACCATGATACGAGTGTGCGGGCGAAAACCAAAGATAATAAAGACATGGATAGGTGTTCTCAGCGTTTCAAGATGGACGGGTACAACTGGTTAAATACAGTTTCTGTCTATATGGCGCAAACAAAATGTCCTGAAACAAATTCGACTCGTTCCCCAAATACTATAGATGAGAATGCGAGAAACTCCGTGTAGAAATGCGAAACTTCATAATGTATGTAGTTACCATTATTCAGCCCCTTTTCGATGTATCACTATTGTGTGGGCGAAAATAAATATAAAGATTCAAATACCTACGATTGTTATGATTTGTGATTATATCACTTGTACTTGGAACCAAAATTTAAAATAGGAACCGGTATTTTTGCCAGAACCGGCGGAATCTTTTTCTTTCTCGTGAACCGAATCCGGATTTCGTTGGCAGACGATTTTTCCGTTCAATTTTATTTACTTAGGTACCTACTTACCTAATAATATTGATTCATTGAATTTGGTTAATGTATATGTATTTACATGTGAACTTTTAAATGTGAGCAGTTAACACATTATAAATATTATATTAAAAAAATAAATAACACTAAATACTCATACATAATATAAAATAATTACCAATATACATTTTTGCGTCATGATAAATTCCATAGTTTATTTATAATTTAGGTTCGATAACGACGTTTGGTAACGTTGGTGACTAATAAAATGATTACCTATTAAGTATTAAATAATAAATTGTAAGTACTTAATAAAAATTGCATATACCTATCAGTGCATTTCAATTGGCTATTGGGCTCCCAGACTGATGATAATAATTTCCTAATAATAGGTATTATAATACTAACCCTAAGATCTGGCAATTGAAGTAACTCCCTTAACGTTTCTTTTGGAATTACAAAGTTATTTTCTCACGTAGTGTTAATTTCCAAAATGATCATTAATAATTATACGTTTACAAAAAAAAAAAAAAACCATCAAAATAATTTTAAAATATATATATTTCACATATTTTAAGGAAACTAAAGATTTGGTTTATAAAGTCTGCAATGGAAAAGTGAATGTAAGTTTAATAACTAATAAGTAATATGTAAATAGACTTTTAATTAAGAGATAAGAATAAGAATAAGAGAATAAGATGTTAACCATTCTGTACATGTTGTCTTCGTTTTACAAACATATGACATAATCTTAACATATCTGATATAAATTCTATGGACGTACTACTATTTTTTTATAGTGAATTTTCCGTTAATTTAATTCACTCTAATATCAAAACTATTACTTGACTTAAAGGTAAGGAATTAAAAACCTATGTAACTATATAAATAGGTGTTTTTTTAATTTTTAAGTGCGGTATGGGTAAGCATTTTTAAATTGTGATAGATACTTAATATCCACATAGGTAAGTACCTACCTGCTACTTACATATATATCTCATACAAATTAAAATAGGTATCAAAAAATGTCTTATTTTTACCTTTAAGTTTGATGATTGTTCAATTCACACTAATAGCTTAATATTAAAACTAACGGCACAAATGTGTCTTACTGAATTAAAATTAAGAATGCAATTCCTTTTTAATTGAAAAAAATTCTCATTTAAAAATTTATTTTTCTATCATTCTATTACCTACTTAATATTTTACATTGGGGAATAGTACTTTTTGACTTTTGTATGTAAAATAAACCTGTTAACTTTATTAGGTACCTACCTGATTACCTATACTGTATCTACTCTATAAAATTAAAATAGTTCAATAGTTTTCTATTTATTTAAGTACTTACGTTATAATATATATTACATAGATACCTATGAAAGCCTACAGATACCTAATAATTTTAATTTAAAATTAATGACTGTAGGAAAACCAACTTGGAACCAACGTCAAAAAACATTTAAGTGTTCAGGTTGTTAGCTTGGAGATGTAATACTTACTTGAATAAAAAAAATTAATTCAAAATCTTAAGAACATCACAGATTGCTCAACTTTTCAAGACCAATGACTTTAATCAAGTATTAACCATAAAAGATAAGTACCTATTATAGATGCCTGTGTTTATTAGTTACAGTGAATGGACATCCATCCAATACATTATACGATTCAGGATTAAATATTAAATACTGTAATTGTAAATTCAGTCCATTAGATAAAAATATTATAACTAGTAAAATATTTTTTTAGAAAATATTTTCATAAATACTGTTATCAAATTATAAAAATAATAAGTAAAAACATTCAATTTAATATTGCATGTTTAAATTTAGATTCAGTCTTATAGCTTAACAGAGCATCCCCAGGGATAAACATAACATTTATTAAATAGCAGACAATAATATGAACAAATTGAATCACACAGGTGTAAGCACGGTCTTAGATTATATTAGGGTATAAGTTAATTATGTATGATAATTACTGGAAAATTTTTTAGAAATATTCTAAATTAATTTTTAATGATTTACATTTTTTTAAAATTAAGTATATATAGGTATATATTTAAATTAAGTAAATGTTTTAAACAAATTTAAAACAGATATGAACCAAGTGTACACTATAACATCAAACAGTATCCTCTTTAATCAACCTTTTACAAATGGTTTTAGATTTAAAAAATTGTCGACCTATTCAATAATAGTTGTTTGAAGTATTAAAACTTTTTGATTCAAAACTTAATTCAATGCTAACATCCATAGTTTAAACACATAATTACTAATTCTGAAACTGAAAATAGTTCTAAAAATATATAATTTATTATTAATATTAAACAGTAATTTTTTAGAAAACTTAATATATTATTAAACAAAACAGTAAATTAGTTTTCAATTAAAATAATTGTATGTAGGAATAAGAAATTTCATGAAATATTGAAAGATTTTATTGTACAAACACTTTATTTTAAAATTTACTAAAATATTATTGCAACCAAATATTATAATCATGATTTTTACTAAATAATAAATCAATAGAAACATTAAATTTAATGTCCAACAATTGAAAACTTGAAGTCTTGAAATCAATAGTGTGTTAACTGCCAAAAAAAAAAATATTCAATGAGACCTGAAAAACTTAGCTATAAAAATCGCCAACAACCTATAAAGAGAGCCACGACCATAATAGTGTGTACAAAGTCTAACAGAATAATTCAAGTGCTATGATTAGGAGACCGCTAGTGAGATTGTAATGGAAACAACTGATCAAAATTGGCAAAAATCAATTAGCACATAGCACGTTATTGATTTCAAGTCTTCAATTGTTGATTATATTTATTGATTACACATTTAAAATATTGATTTGTTTCTAATAAAATAAAAAAATATAAATCATTTTGCATAGTGATTTAGACCATGACTTCCATGTCAAGTCTTGATGAACTTGATTAAACTTTGATGATAATAAATTTGAGAAAACTGAAGAAATTGTAACTTATATTGTAGTGAAATTTTTACTGGCGTGTAACACTGCTTGAAATATTGAAAATTATTTTTATTTTTTTTCGAGTAATTATTAATTGATATATTGTTTTGTAAAGTCATTACTAGAGTACGGATTTAATATATTAAAAAAATATATATATTACACTCAAAAATTAGTAAATGACATTTATTTAAAATTATTGAATTCAATTTATTGAACATTTAACTAAAATAATACATTTTAAATTATGAAAGCCTAGTATAAAATATTCTCCCCAAATTCTGGCATAATTACAAAGATGTCTGGATAATGACGATTTATCTGTCGATGTTTTGAAAAAAATAAAGTCTGTAAAACATAAACAAGAATTACGACAGACATGTAAGTACATACGAGAGACGGTAAATATATATAACACAACTGAAATAATATTAACAATTTTAGGTCCGAGTTCCGAGATTAGAATCAGTACTTTCGTATCTTGGTATACGTATATTATTTCATCGATTATTAATCTTCGGGAAAACCGTTTATACCTACAAGTATATTGATATTAATCAAATCAAAACTATATAAAAATATAATAGTTCTTTCTTAAAATTATTACAATACTACAGTAAATATTTAAATATCAAAATATACTATAAAAAAGTTTAATTGTTTAAATCATTAATTTAAGAAACAAATTCTGTGCTCACTTAGCGTATCATATAATCAACCAAAATAAATATTGAATAATAGTGATATTGGATTCACTTAAAAAAAAAACAAACTATATTTTTTGTTGAAATTTTATTGTATATCAAACATTGTACATAAGTATTCTTCTGAATAGTCATTATACACACGGAAATAGGGAAACTGTATCAGAGCTTACAACTTGAGCTTAGTTCTTCTCCAATGACGCCTCTTGGCGTTATATCTGAAATAATAATAATAATTTGATTATAAATCATTTAATTAAATTAAATATTCAAAATACAATAACAGCAATACACATTCATAAATAATATCAATCAATTTCAATACAATGTAGATATTCCAGAATATAACAATTAAAAAAGCTAAAACTGCTAATGGAGGATATATGCCACTATTTGGAAGGGGTATGTGAAAAGTAATTTAATATCTGTAAACTATGATAAATCATTACTAAGAAAAATGATTCTAAGCAAAGCATTTTCCTTAATCTTTATACCTTGTTTTCAAGTTGGCCCAGAAAAAAAAATTATACAATGTCCAGTTTTTCTATTAAGAAAATCAAAAAGTAACCTCCCCAACGCTCTAGACCAAATATACATGTTTTTCTGTATATAGATAACTTTTTGAAAATAAAACTTACTCTGATGTACCTAGTAAGCGAAGCACATTTTCTAAAAGGAAATTTTATCTAGTTGATGCATAAGAAAGGTAATTTTTGATTTTTAAAATAATTTAGAAAAACTGAAAAATGACCAAAGATAAATAAATTTATAGTAAACGGTAGTGAATATAATGGACAGAATATTTAGTATTGTCATAACGGTCATAATTTTTTTTCTTATTAAGTTATCATTTCAGAATACGGTCTTAGAAGATAAGGTCCATATTAATAATTAATAATATTTGATTTTTAATGATTTTCTGGCAACACTGAACATGTAATGAATGCTTTTTTTTTTTTAATGAACGTGTTTACTATTTTAGTGAATGTTCCAAAAGTGTTTAGAAAAGTTTTAGTTTACTAGTAACCTTGTTTATTTCTTTTGACACTTACACTGGTAGGTGAATCATAAATTGACAGTCCAAGCAAAAACCTTAACCCTCAAATTCATAAATAGTATAGTTTCAATAGTAATGTTACAGATATCAATCAAAATCTTAATAACAATATTCTCAAATCAGAAGTGTATACTCATTTAAGATATAAGGAGTTGAAAAAAAATTTGATAATAGTGTTAAAATAATTGATTCCATAAATTATTAAAAATTTAATTAAAATTCCTCTGAACCATGATCATCCTATATTATATTTAAAATGTTAACTCCTATAGTATTTAGTGTTACATAAATATGAAATATAAAGTTAATATTCAAACATTTAAAAGCTTCAATGCAATATAGTCAAAAAATTTAACTCTTAGTGTTGATTTATAGGTTATCTAGATGACACAGATAAAAAATATAAATATATATTTATATATATGATTATAAACATGGGTAGATACTTTTAGATTCTCAGTAAAGCAAGGAATATATTGGTTTTACAATGTTAACTTTCTACCCTTTTTTTAGAATAATATACTGTACAAAATTTCTCCTAGAAATCTTGCTTCAATTAAAACATTACAAGACATTTTTTTATGCATTTTAGATCTAGTTGGTACTTTAAGACAGGTTATTTATTAAAACCCTCTTCAATATTCGAGACATTGAAGAAAAATAATAAAAGATTAAAAATAAGGTTGTTAATGGCACAGTTTTATCTATTTTTTGTGATTATTAAGTTTGTATTATTTTAATATTTTTAAATAATTATTGTAGTCATGAAAACGCACATTGTTGAAAAAGTAATACTATTGACCAGACTCCACTCAAAATATTTTTCTTTTCAGCAATTATTAATCGTTGCATACAGATATAAATAACATTCCTTTCTATATCTTACCTTCCCAACTTTTTATCCACAATAGTGGCCCATCCATGGTGCGAAGAATGTCTACTTATTTTTTTATTTTGTATTGTGCAAGGGCAAAATTATTTGGGATTTTTAGTAAATAGAATGTTTTCTATACATTCTAATAAAAATATGCGTGAAAAATTTCGTTTTTAATACTATAATCATAATGGGTACAAGTAGTGAAAACAATTAACTTGATATGTATTTGCAGACAAAACATAAATTAGTGGACAACACTTAGATAGGGGGTAATGGGGGGATATTTTTTCCTATTACCTCTTCATATATATTCAAATAATATAAGAAAATACAGTTACAAAAAAAAAAATTGTGTAAATAAAAAAAAGTTCTCGTGAAAAATCATTTGACCAATATTTCAGATAAGCTGTCCAGTTATCAAATAGCTACCTACTGTAAATTAAATAAAATGTTTACTATGATGAAACATATTTATGAAAAAAGCTGATCAGCACCGTAAAACCTAACCATTATTAAATCTACTAACTGGAAAGCTCAAGAGATTACCGAATAAATATTAATTAATTAATAAACGAAACTACACAAATAATATAATAAAATGTATACCTGATCGTGTTACCAGTCCTCATCCTAATCCACTGGGGAATGGGACGGTTTTGTTTCATCTTTTTGGCAAGCTTCTGCTTGATTTTGAACGTCTTTTTCGACGACTGTGAACAATAACACATGTGCCATAAGTGTCGAAGTATAATTTTTGTTAAATTTTTTACATTCAAGACGAATAACCGTATAAAACCGTCTTATATCAATCGTAATTGTAATGTAATTATTTTTTTAAATTATGTTACTTACCATGATGACAGGAGAAACGTTGGAAACGCAAAACCCGAAATTCTTTTGGTGGTCGTCAACGTAGTGTGGAATACGAATTAATAATTATGAAAATTGTATTTAACATATCGAACGTTTAAAATTACAGGTTATGTTTTTAACTCAGTGTAGACCGCAATATGTTCACAATTCACGAATTCCAGTTTTATATTGGTAACACTGACATCAAAATTTTCGTATTGACGCGGAATTTTAAATATTTACGAAAATAGGAATTTTGATTAACAAATCTTTTTTAGGAAGACAAACACGGTAGTAATAGCACATCATATTAGTTTTTGTAAGCTTTTTTTTTTATTATGTTTATAAAATAAACGTAATTATTACGTTACAATGATACACATAAATATATTACAATTGGAAATATTATTACAATATTTAGTATATATCAAAAAAAATATGAAATGTTATACTCTAGGAATGTTTATTTGTGAGCACAATTTGTACTTTTTTCACAGTACACGGATGTTCCTAAATTTAATAATAATTTAATTTTATAATAATTTTTTTTATAATATGGAACGTCACAAGTGTTTAATTGTATAAATTAAAATTAAAGTCATAAGTATAATTGTATATATATAAATGTATAATTTGTATACACATTTAAATAAAACTTAAAATTAAATATGTACAAGCAGTATTGAAAAAAATATCCATTAATTTAATAAAATTAAGAAAACTTGTTTATTAACGACCGAGTAGCCAGTAGTCATTATTTTTTAATGAGTAGATACACATATACATAAAACATATAATATTTTTTTATACATCAAACAACCAGTCAAATTATAACATCTAAAAAAAAAAAGTTTACTTAAGTATACATGTTTTTGTTTTCTTAATAATGATACAAAATTAAGATGTACAAAAACTTAAATCTGACACAATTTTTGTTCATATTATCATGAATTATACATTATAGTAAAGATAGGCCATTCAAAAGAAAAAAGTGAAAACTCTTCGTGGATTGAATACTAATTGATCGCAGTATTCTAATATGGATTATAATAATCACTATATATTATATATTTAAATTGCTTAAAACACAGAAAAATAACTCAAGAATCAACAAAGTTCAACAATGATGTTAAATCATCATTACAAAAAAAAAAAAAATGTAAAAAATATTTATGACAATGATATAATAAACTAACCTAACCTTTTCTTTTAAGAATTATGTTATTGATAATTTCACAACTGTTTTTTCTACCACATTTTATTTTTCAATTTAATGTATAAATAAAAAAAATAAACAACAAAATTTAACCTTCTTGCCTAATTATTTTTCTATTATTAGCAACATAAATAAATACAAAAATTGCAACATCCATTAAGAGTGTTTTGATATTTTTCTACTGAGTGGTGCATCTATACTATGTATAATCAATAACAGTATTAATGAGTACCCATCTATTATAGAATAAATTATTCTGTAATCAATATATAAAATGTCAAACTACCTATTTAGGAAAAAATCTAGTTTAGTCTTTCAACAATTTTTTAGTTAATATTAATATCATTAATTTATTAATTAAGAATTTATAATCAGAACTTAGGGATTACAAAGTTTAAAAAATTAGATGACGGGGGGGAGGTTATTCTTGTATCAATTAATTTACTGGAGTCAGCTAAATTGACTGTTTTTAATATTAGTCAGCCAATTTGGCAATTAAATGAACGAATCAAACATTTTTGCAGCACCTCTAAAAAATTACTATTATACATTTCTGGCAATTGATCTAGGTTTTAAATTGTGAAAGTCATTGATATTGGTAAATATTTATCAAATATCATAATTTGGCAATTATTATATACAATTAATATATATAAAAATCCATAATCCAGTCTTTTGACATTATTTATAAAATAAATCCATTTCTATTTCAATGATATATCTAAGGCAATGCACAACTTGAGATAAGGATTCAATTTTTTTAGTCATTTTTAAATATAAAATGGTTATGAATTATATTAAAAATAAAAAAAAAACTTAACAAAAGTTTTATGTCCACATTTAACAACTACCTACGAAGGTCACATTTTAAAAGGGCTGCATGAGACATTTTGGAAGTTTTTGAGGACATCAAATTCATTGAATATATTTAAACAAATTATGTTAAAGAAAAATGAGAAAGTCAAATGAAATCATGGTTATTCAAGTAATACTTTGTCTATTGGCTTTGATTTCCACACTTCAGGTCCTATAATCCTATTCTAATTATTGATATTCAGAACATACACACACAATACTGGATTTGCACTGGTCCTATACACACCATCTGTTAAACACTGTAATCACAAATTGGAAGTCTAAATGGTTAAAATCCATTAACCATTATTCACTTCAAGTGAATATCCATTGAAAAGTTAACATTTAAGTTCCACCAAATTTAAAAATTGTTTAGATGACTAATCTAGATGTATGATTCTATTTTATATAGGTGATGGCTACATTTTTATATATAATCATTGATAATATAATATTAAGTATGAACTATTTAAACTTTTTAAAGTTGCGTAACATACATAATATTTAAATTAAATGTACTTATTTTACTAGAAATGTTTAAAAAGTTATAATGGTTTAGATGAGTTGACTTTCCAATAAAAAATAATAATTATAAATTTAAAACTATAATAAATTTTTTAAAAAACAAACAAAAGTTAAAAAATATGTAAAAAAAAATACTTACCAAAGTGTATGCAGTAAATCTGGTAACACTTGCGAAGTAAAATATAAAATTATAAGGAACAAACATTATTCAACAAAATAAATTATAACAGTTCATAAAAAAAAATTAAACACAAAATATTAAGGAATTGCTTTCAATAATTTCAATATTTGGTCTTCATATTCAATTTTTAATTTGTGTTCCCTTGGAAATAATTTTCTGATTATCAATTTGATGTTTTGCTCATCTGAAAACAAATAATTAAGATTTTTAACAATAATTTACATAATTTTATTATATAGAGTATTCTAAACTTATTAGGGACCCTATCGGAAAAAAAAATATAAATAATAAGTTGGGAATAATGAATAAAATGTTTTAAATAAAATACCATCAGATAAAAATCTGCAACTTTTAAACAATAAAATAAAAAATTGTAGCAGTTTTAATAAGTCTTCTTCAAAAAACCATCACACACACATACACACACAAAGACCTTATTAAAATTAATAGAATCTCAGTTACACTCAGAATCTAAAATTGGTTTAAAAATATATACATTTTTTTTTTTTTTGCTAAACAAAAATTATATTATTACTATTTAAATTAAAAGTTTTTAAATGTGAAAATCTAAAAACAATACAAATTATCTTTGACTACATACATACATACATTTAAAGGTTAACAAACCTTTAAATTTAAAAAAACTTTAAGTTTTATCAACCGAGTCATAAATAGTGAGCAATCAGATCTTTTAATTATCAACAATTTTACTTCAATTACTATATTTATATTTATAACTTCAATAGAACAACTTCTTAATATTATACAATGATAAAGACCTTATACACTTCTTTCAATTGAAAACGCTTTAAGTTTTATTCAATAGATTTTAGATAAAGAATTTAAAATACAAAACACTTTAAAAAATATTTTATAATGTTAAAAAATCAGATCAAATTTAAAACTAAAATTTTAATTCAAATTTGTTTTAAAAAATATAATTATTTGTAAATTTGACTCTTACATAAAATATAATTATTTACCTGGATAACTATTAGACTCCAATAGTTTGTGAACAATTTCTCTAGCCATGAACTTAAATAGTTCTTTAGTCTTAAATACATTATTTTTGTAGTGAGGATTTAATAAATTTACAACTAGTTCCGACAATTCAAATTTTTTCTGTTTGGTATTGGGATCTTCAGTCTTATATTTATTTATTTTTACTGGTTCTTGAGATTTTGTTTTAGTTTTTGATGGTATACCAAGTCTGACACCTAAGGACTTCTTTTTAACATCCCCCACTAATATTTTACTCTCATCCTCACTGTCATCGCCAAAAAGGTTATTCATACTACACTTGGATGAAGGTACTTCAATATTTTGTTGTGATCTATGTTCAACTGATGGTTGTTTTAGATCCTTTTGCTTTTGACTTAGAGAAAGTTCATTTTGTTTTTTAGTCTTATTATTTTCATTTTCAGAATTAGTTTCCAAAATTGCCGTTAATTCATTAAAAATATCATTAACATCTTTTTCCTTTGATTGATGTTTATGGTGAAGGTATGATGGGTCATTTTCTTGATCTTTAACATTTTTTAAACTATTTGTGCACGTGTTATTAGATGCAAGATTAAGTTGCCTGTCCATATTAGTATGTGGTATATTATTTATAGCATAATCACTTTTAACCTTTATCAAATCTTTAGATGATGGATCATATGTAGAATTATAAGTTTCATAATTATTTTGAAATAGACTGGATGCTATTCCAATGTTGGGCCTTTGTACATTAGCAGATGTAGTTTGATGATAAAAAGCTTCATTAACATTATTTGTTTTCTCTTGAGTAGGTGATTCTTCTATTATTATTGGTTGACAATTATTTTGGGAGCCTTCTACAGTTACATCTTCAATAATCTGCACATCATCATCCGATGATATTTCCATATCACTATCAGTATTCTCTATTTTTGGTTTTTTTGTAACACATTCTTCATTTTCTATAATTGGTTGATTAGTAGTTATAAATGATGTCATGGATTGCTGAGTTAAATGATCTCGTTTAATTCCTCTTTTGATTTTCGGCTCTGGTATTTTATTATTTACTTGAGCTTGAATAAGATCTGAAGCTGTAACTATAGGGGGTAATTCTATAGTTTTAGTTGGGTTTTCTTTAGGTTCTTCTTGAACTGGCCTTGTATAATTTTTTATTCCATCAAAAACATTTGATGCTATTGAAGCTGCTTTAATAAGTGAAACCTGAAATAAATAATAAATTATTGAATACAAAATTATTTATAAAACTCATAAATATAGTGATTATTATTGTCAATAATTATCACTAGTTCATTTTATATCAAAGTTTATGAATTCAGTGATCAAATTAATTAAATTACAATTTGTAATTAAATTAAAACTATACCCAACTAAGCAAAAAAAAAAAAATGTTTTGTTTACTTTTTAATTAAAGAAACTAATTTTCCTACCAAAGTACTAAAAAAAAAAAATTTAAATAGTCTGTTACTTGGGAAAAATATAACTTTTTATTGATGAAATAATTTTCAGAATCAGATCAGCAGTTTCAAAAATAACAAATATACAATTTGACTTACAACATAACATTATAGCTATTAATTATAACCATTATATTACCAAACTTTCCCTGACCATTATTTTTTTTTTATATACATTTACTACACAAATAAATACTATATTTACTTTTACTTAAGTTATAATATTTTATGGTAAATAATATTGTTATTTTTTTTTATCAGGATAATAAACATATAAGTATTTTACAAAACTAACACTGGAGCAAGCAACAAAGAATTATCTATGAGTAAAATAGGGATCCATAATATTGAGCCCAACCACTCTCATCTCCTAGATACACCAGGTCCGGTAGAAGGGGGGGGGGCAACGATAAACCTTTGCTTACGAAAATACAATTCTGAGTGGAGTTCAGTTGATAGTGATGCTTTGTCAACAATATATATGTCATTTTGTAGTAAAATAATTAAATAGGTTTTATGTATTTTCTTTAATAAAATTTGTTTAATGTTGTATCAATTTTCCCAGTTTTCCTACATTTTATCCTGGTTTTTCACATTTACTGGGAAAATTCTTGGGAAAATCAAAAAGTTACCTCTCTAAATTACCTCTCTAGAGAAATTTCCTTTCAGAATCAAGGCTATCAATAAAAGTTGGAACAAAATTTTTGGTAGAAAAGTTGTCCAAAGAAAAAAAAAATTGTAAGATAATATTTATTACATTTTGTAAATACATGTTATGAGAAATCGAAAAATTACCTCCTTACCTAAAGTGCTTCCCCACGCCGATTTCTTTTCAGAAAAGGTGCTACACATAGAATTCCAAGCAAGTCTTCCGGTGGAAAAGTTGTGCACATACATATATATATACATAAAAAAAAACTTAGTAAAACCATAAGCTTTATCACTCCACTCATAATCTAAAATACACGAGTACCACTGAGTGGCCTATTCTTATTTTTAATATATATGGTTATAAAGTCACAAGTAAAGAAAACTAAAATTCATCTACTAAAAATTTTCCTCAGATATTTTTTTCAGCATTAAAAAAAAAATCACATACTATTGCTATGTAAAAAAATCACATAACACTGTTTGTCTATCGTAACAAAGTTTAGTATTCAATATTAATTTATTTTACACTAAGGACAAAGAATTTTCCTGTGTGCATATGTTTTACAAGATGAAAAGTAATCTTTATCACTTCCCAATCATCCAAATATTCTTATGCAAAAAATCCCGTTGATCCCTTGCTCTGATATGACATAAAAAGAAAGACAAACAAACACACTTTTGCAAACTAATAGATATTTAAAATATTCTATATTTATTTTTCCTTGATACTTCTTAAATTCTACATAATATCATTTATGTACTATATATAAATTTAAAATTACTCAATTTATTATTATCTACACAAGTAAATGAACATACAATGTGTGATCCATGATTGCAACTTATAGGGCCCTAATGGTCTAAAAACCCCTATTTAAAAATAACTTTTTATTTATTTATTTTTATAAAGTAATGCTTAATAATTATACAATACAAATTTTTATAAAACAAAATAAATTATTTTCTTAACACTAAAAGCGTTAAAAGGTTCTATCTTTAGTAATAAATTGATTTAATTTGTTTATACCTTAGACTCACTAAATTGTAATCCTTATTACATTCCTAAACTATGGGCTTTTATGTAGAAATTACTAAAATTAGTAATTTAGCAGAACAGTATTAAAGTTTTTCTTAGGTAGGTATGAATCAAATATTGAATTTCTTAAACTTTAAATTTGAACTACAAACTTCAACTCAATTATGTAAGTTTTAATCATTTATATAAAAAAAAATTCTTAGTTATTAATTTATTTTTAATTTATACATTATGATTTTTAATAAAATGGTGCTAGACAAACATTTTTATTAGTTTATAGATAATAAATTATTATAAAAAAAATTAAAAACAAAAAATCTCATAATGAAGAAATACGAAATGCCAAATTAAAATAATTACTATTATGTATAATTGTTGTTATAAAACAAATTATAACTAAAATTAATTCATAAACCCATATAATTTAAATTGTATTCAGCTTACACCTACTTACAATGATACCAAATTTAAAACTATAGGTTTAGATAAAATATGTGTTGATAAAATAGCTATAATATATTCAAGATGAGCTGTCCAAATAGAATAACTATTTTTTAGGGTGTAATACAATATTCTATTTGAACATCTGTATTCACAATAAAATTTTCTTGAGACATGTTATTCTGTTATTTTTTGTAAATTCAAAACTTTATTGTTAGGTAAGTTACAATTTTTTTTTTGTGTGTGAATAATATTGCATTTCGTGACATTCATCCCAAATATGTTAATAAAATAAAACATGTAAATCAAAAAAAATTTAGATTCAAGATACAATGTTAACAAACTTCAAACTTTAAACTTTAATAAAATATAGAAGGTTAGTGAGTTTGAAGAAAATACTTGTTTTCCAAATAACAAAATTGGTGATTTTAGATTCAGAATGGAGCTCTTCACTAAGCTTATGGTTTTATAATGATAATTTTATTATGATTATTTTATTTTATTATAAGTTTACTTAATAAACTCATGAAAAACTGAAAAAAACATTGAAGAAATAGGAAAATAGGTGCAATATTAAAGTAAATGTAATGTAATTATTTTACCATAATATGACATTATATATACTGTTGACAAAGCAACACTACCAACTGAACACTGCTTAGAATCGTTTTTTTGTTAGCAATGGTTTATCGTTACTTACAGATGTACATTAAATTCCCGTCTGTATCCTACCTTCCCAACTTCCCACTAACAACAGTGACTGCACTCACATGTAAAGTAGGTCTGTCTTTTTTTATTATTAATAATTGTATTAATACTTACTGTTTTAGCAATTTTCTTTCGGTAGATTGCTACAACTTTTGAACTAGTAAACGCTTCATATTCCAAGTCAACTGCAATATTATGAAGGTCTTCATTAGTAATTTCTGATAATGAATCAAATAGAGAGCATGCCTCAATATTTTTCGCCAAATGCTCTTCTATGAACCTTAATAATTCTTCTCTTACCTAAATAAAACAAAACTATTTAAAAATGTTTTTTTTTCTTTTGTATAATGTAATTAAAATTATTAGAAATAATAGAAATATGTATTTTTCAGTTTACAAATTTTCTTTTTCAAGCAACTATTCCATATAAGTTTTGTTATTTGGATTTGATTTGAAATATAAATACATAATACACATGCAATTAGATTCTAATGATTATAAATGCAATTGTCATGCTATGCTATTATCGGTTTTATCTGTCCGTCAACTTTATTGTTCAAAGCCCCATTCAATCATCGCAATATTGGTATCGAAATTGTTAAGAAAATAACCACGATATTGAAATTGTATTGAATTATCAATATCGTTGTCCAACACTAGCAATTTAATATAATTAGTGCATTTAAAAGATTATTTTTTGATTTTTCAATGGGTTCTCATAATTGTGAAAAACTGAAAAAAAGATGAAAAGTGAGTACAAACAAATTTATGGCGGTTGATTTCATTATTTTACATTTTTATATACCAAATATAATGCTCTAATCAAAAAATGTCAAGAGACTTTTTTTTGTTAAATTTTTAATCTAGTTAGTGAGTAAGTAACTTGTTTTATGATTTTCCGTGCAGTTTTTTTGATGATTGAGCAAAATGGAAAAAATAAGGAAACAACTTTTTTGTTATTTTCAATTTTGTTTTTTGGTTGTAATACAATTTAAAATATTAGGAGAGATTTGAGCAATTTATAGGCATTTTATATTTGCACGTTTTTTTATGTATTTTTTATTGGGTAGTTACTATGCGAATATAATTTTTAGACCAACCAGACATGCATGAAAATTTAATAGGTGTATTATAAGATGTACTTGATGGTCAAAAAAGAAAAGTAGAGTATAATGTAGTAATTTTTGTTTGATAATTGTTTTAAGATCAAATATTAAAGAAAATCGCAAATGTTACATCCTACCTTCCCAACATCTCACCAACAACAGTAATGCAACCACCAGCAATATAATCAGCTCATTTTTTTTTAATTAATTCAAGTTTAAAGGAAAAATTCTTCCGAGTCACAAATATATAAGTACAATACAAACCTATTAAATACGTATGCAGTTAAGTCATACAAATTAACAAAAAAAAATTGATTTAACACAATGCTAGTATAAACCATAATTGATGACTCTAATAAAATCAAATTCATACATAAGTATGATAAATAAATAAAAAGACATTGCTGATGAATGCTGATATTTATAAATCTTGAACAATTATTTTGTGTTTATTCATTGAATTGAAAATGTTTTATAAAATTACAAAATCCTAAATATGCTCTACAACCGACAAAATCCTACAATATACCCTAAAAATTCTAAAAACCATAATATGCAAAAAAAAAAAAAAAATTGTATACATGGACTCGTTAAGTCGTGAAACACATTTTGGTATTAACTAACTATTATTTTGACCAACCAATAAAAATATGCAAATGCATACAAATATTGGCCTTACTAATTAGTATTTTTGCTTTTTTCAATTCTGAAGCATGGTGGCGAATAGTATTGACCACTTTTTTTATTTTTTTTTCATGATAATTATGACGGTCAACCTCCTCGAGTAAATATTATATATTTTTTATGCATAGTAGTTAGTGAACCCAACCAATTGAAATTTTTTTTAAACACTTTCATTTATTTTAAATAATATTTGTGCCGAACTCTGATTACAATACTGAACTAATATTATTATTATTACAGAATCCCATTATTAGTATAAAAACCTACCTATAATTTACAAATTGTGTTAGAATTTAAATTTGAAATACTTATAACATATAATTGTAATGAATAATATTTCTATTAATCTTCTATATAATACTTTTCAATCTGGTAATCAACAATCAAAATTTTATATTAAAATGTAATGCAATAATCTTAAAATATTATATTTATGTACTGTAATATAATTGATATTAAATCTTACTGATAGCTGTAAACCATTGACTTTTTTAATTGTAGATGCAGCTGCCCTGACCTTTGAATTTTGTACCAATTCATCATTTTCTTTTATAATATTTTGTATATTAGCTCGTCTTATTTCAAATTGGCGTTTTATTTCCAATTCTAATTCTAAATTCTTTGAATTAGTTTCTCGATCACCCTCACGTGCATATTCTTCACTGTCCCTAAATAAATAAATAATATTATTCTATTTACTATTAACCTAATTTCAAAACTATAATTAGCTATTGTTATAAATACTCTTGTATAGCTTTTTTTCCTCCTCCATAATATTCACTAGAAACTAATTGGTCATTTGATGCAATTGTGTGACCTCGACTATTTATTCCGTAAATAAAAACATCCAAATCCAATTTTACTCCCTCTTTATTTGAGCAGACATCACATTTATCAATGCACTCAGGTTTTGTATCTCCAAAATAATCAGCAAAAAACCCATGTCTACACCTATTAACAAACAAAAATTTCAAAAATAAAATGTATAAATAATTATTTTATTTTAAATTTTCAACATACAGTACACTTTCACAGTACTGAATCATTTTTAGAAACATTTGATAAGACGATTTAGCTTTTTTTTGTTTATCTTGTGTTTTAGCTTGAGTGATTGCTGATTTCAAAATAAAATCTAATGAATTTTTTTCTTTTTTTGAATGGTAAATTCGACATCGAGCCAGTTCACCATCTCTTCCAGCTCGACCAGACTCTTGATAATATGCCGGAATACTAGATGGCATGCCCCAATGTACAACAAATCTTACTGTTGATTTATCAATTCCCATTCCAAAACTTACAGTTGCTGTAATTACTTGAATGTGCCCACTCATAAATGCTTCTTGCACAGCTAATCTTTCTTTGTCTTTTAACCCTATTTTAAATTACAATAGTATTTTGATTTTTTTAATAAAATATATAATTTGTATAAAATGTTACCAGCGTGATAAGGTGCAACTGAAACACCTCTACGACTAAGAACTGTAGCTATTTCTTCTGTTAAATCTCTTGTTCTACAATAAATTATTCCACATGGTTGTTTCGACTAAACAAATTTAAGAAATTAACAATATTTTAATAAATAAATTTTAAAAATATTTACTGGATTTATGTTCGCCTCATTTTTTAAACAATTAATATCATCACATAAACATAGATCAATAAACTCTTTTAAGTGTTGGTATGAATTTCCAATGGTATCGTCAAATATAACATCGTAAAATAGATTCGCTCTAAAACATGGCGTGGAAAACTTTGAAACTGGAGTTTTTAAGCATAATGTGGTCATTATATCTTTGACTACCTAAATATATAAAAAATAAAATACATAATTAAGAATAGTCATACCAATATGTTTGTGTATTTATTTATGGTATACATCGGCACTAGCTGTAGCTGTAAGAGCAATCCAAGGAATTTGATAATAAAGTTTTCTGAGTGAGCCCAGGCTCAAATAATCAGGCCTAAAATCATGACCCCATTGACTTACACAGTGTGCCTCATCTACTACTATGTATGCCAATTTATTTTTGCGTACTAGATAAGATAATAAATTCTGAAAATAAAATTGTACAAATTTGAATTTAATAAAACTATTGTGACTTATACATAACATATATCCAATACCAGACCTTGAAGAAATCAGTCGCAGCTTGCTCAGGGGTAACATACAGTAAAGAAGTAGTTACTTGGACTGAATATAAGTCATTAAGAACGCGTTTTCGATCGGAAACAGTCATTTTTGAATTAATAGTTTCAGCACGTATTTTTAAGCGCATTAAATGATCAACTTGATCCTACATAAATTAAATATTATATTATTTTATATCAATTGAATATTCTATAAAACCAATAAATATGTACCTTCATTAAAGCTATAAGAGGAGAAAAAACTATTGTAATTTTAGGTGAATAGAGTATCGCAGGTAGTTGATAACATAATGACTTTCCAGATCCAGTCGGCATCGACACAAATACATCAACTTGTCCTTAAAAACATTTACGATCAAAATGATAACAAATAATAAACTTACAAAACACTTACGTTTTAATATTGTAATAATAGCATTCTTTTGTAGATCACTTTTAAAGGTCGAATGATGGAAATAATGATTTAACTTTTCAAGCAAGGTATTAGAATCGATACTAATAACTTGATCAAGTTTACTATGCACTTCCTCTGTCATTTTGAATGTATGATTTATGTACAATTAATAATTTTATGACTGTAGTGAATCCTCCATTAAAATAATAGATTTAGAACCTCAAATTATTTCGTTAAATATTTATCATTAATCTAAGATAATCAATGTACTAAATGTTAAAATTATTTACAAAAACATAATGTACGAAATTGAAATCAATTGATGTACGATCAAAAATTTTTGAAAACGAAAACATGATTACTAGTTACTATTACTTTATCACGATGTAATTCACCTTAAAATATAAAATACGTTCGTTGAAGCAATATATTGCTAAATGATAATAAACTAGATATTAGATTCTAAAAGAAGTAAATGTCCATTACATCCAATGCCAACTTTACCGAATTACCTAATTTAATTTTGAATTTCATAGCGCGTAGTACATTGAATACTAATAGATAGGTACCTACTAAATACACATAGGTGTATTAAGCTCGTTATTATCATTTTACGGTAAGTAATGTACTACTGGTATATATTTTCACGAAAAATAATTATTTATTTTTGTATAAGAAACTTAACAAACACGGTACGTAAACACACACACACACACACACAAACATACACGCACACACGAATAGTTAAATAAACATGTCAATATGTCATTTTACGTATAAATTGTTTAATTTACCTACCTCCCATTCAAATAGGTACCTATTTGATTTTTAAAATCGAGAAAATAAAAAATAGGTAATATAATTGCAGACGTTCAAACTATTATTTCAGAAACACTTTCAATATAAAAATATAGGCTACATAGAGGCTCTTCTGCAGGGGGACATAATACGGACGTGGGTCCCCCCCCGTAACCTAAGCGTTAATAATGAGAAAAAAATATACCCTTTAATATCACGAAATTATTATTACAGTAAAATGTAAAAAATACACAGACAGATAAAAAAATTATAAACGGTGTTTTACACAGATGATGGACGCATCATTGCGGGCGACGAGCTGCAGATTTCGATCGTGTGCATACCGTTGACAATCGATGGAGCAGCAATTTTACTACAAACGGATCCAAAAGGGGTACAAATGAATTTTGGTACAAATTAAAGATACCTATACAATCACAGCGGGTGCTCCCTATCCCTGTCGAGTGCACGGGTAACCAAATACCACCCCCGTCACATCAATACCTATAATAACGTCATACCATTGGACGAATACGTTTGGAACTTGTAGATTGAAATTCCATTGTCGTGTGTATATTATAGTGTAAGCAGCTGACATTTGTTTACGGGGGTGAATAAAACAAATGCGTACACCGATTTTAAATATGTATATCGGATCCTAAAAATTACGATTTTCGGTAATTTCGTGACTACCCCTCATGATTTTCGTATAGCGGTCAATCGGTTTTCAATACGGTCGCCGTCGTTTTTATAATTAAATTTCGTACGGAAATGAAAATGCAATATTATTTTTTCCATGGAATTGGCGGGCGCGTGCGTGCGGTCGCGCGTGGTTTTCGGATTCTCTAAACGGGTCAACGGGTGGTTGTTTTGGCCGGCAGCGGCGTCGCCTCGCACAAAACTGTCTTAACTGCGCACGCGCCTAGCCCCGTCTGAACTGGTGGTAACAAGAAATTCGCGGGACAACGCCACAGCCCTGCGTAACATCATCACTGAATATTATATTATTATTAAACGTGTACAATACGAATAATGATTTTACGTACCTACATGGTGATTTTTTTTTAGTAACGCACTCACCCCGTCAAAGAGCTCACATAATTTATTCTAATATTATTCTAATTTTTGAAAAATAACCAATAGTCTGCATACATTTGATAGGGTAGACAAATACGTATACAGCGGGGGTTCAACCCCCCCCCCCGTAATTTGTAATAATATAACAAAGACTAACTACAAGTTCATGTATTAAAAATATTTTAAACCCCCCTCGAAAATTGATCCTGAATACGTGCTTGAGGGTAGGTACATGCCTGCCTCGCGATGGGAAAAACAGGATTTTACAAAAAAATGAATTATACACATTAATAAACGATGGCAGTACCTAGTGGAGTAGCCAAGTGAAAAACTGATCCCCACTGCTGTCGGTTAATCGAAAAAAAAAATGTACATACTATCTATATATATTAGTGAATATTATCTATTATAGGAGGAGGTAGTCTAGTCAATTTATAGAGATGAAACAAATAGCGAATCTAATAAAGACAACAAAATTGTATTAATTATATTTGTTGGTTTAAAGAGTCATCAATTTATTCTTTTAAATTAACTACTCCCATAATGCCATAAAATACAATGACTCAATGACATTATTGATAATTTTTATTTCAAATTTTGACAAAAATCCTAAATATTACGGCCTTTTAAAACATATATAGCCGATACCACCCAGAATCGTTTTTCGTTAGCAATGATCATTGATTACATAATGATATACATTAAATTATCTTCTATATCCTCCCTTTCCAACTTGTCACCTACATCAGTTACTCATCCATCGTGTATTATAGTTTGAATTTAATATTTCAATTTTTTTTTTTTTCAAAATGTGTGTTTTTAAAGCTTAATTGCTTAATAAAAGTTAAATTGGTATAATAAAAACTTAACTATCTTACTTTTAGAGTTTTTATATTAACCTTAAAAATAGCTTTTTTAACATGGTTTTGTAGAACAAATCGAAAAAATAGAAGATGATTTCTTTATAAATAAAATATTTTCAATTAGAATTTGTTATTTAAATTTTTGTTGAGCTTGTTATTAATTACAGCGAGTATTTAACGTTTGTAACTCTAAAACTAAGCCAGATAGATTTATTTTGACTTTAACAAATAAACTTTGTTATTGAAAACTACGTATAAATAAAAGAAAAAAACCAAAATAAATTGTTAATCACATTTTAGATTAATTACAAAAATGCTATTTTTAAGGTCTACGTACACAAATTCTAAAAGTAAGCATAGTAGGTAAATTTTGGTTGTACCAATGAATTAAGCATGAAAAAACACATTTTGAAAAAAAAACGCTAATATGTCAAACTGGAATCGTTCCTAATTCGTTTACGCAAATTTTTTATAAACTTATAATAATGATTATACTCAGTAAATCTTTCAGAAATTTGTTGGTATCAAAGTCGAAATTCAAATTAATAGTAACTATAGGTTAGAATGATAGTTTTTAAAAATAATCGAGTAAATAGATAATTTTCACTCGGTAGTATCCATCACTACTGGCTACTTTTATATAGTTAAAATACAAATCTATGCATATTGGAAAATATTATAATAGTCTTCATACTCGTGCGTATAACACATACGTTTAAATATTATTATAATGGCAGGAACATTTTCCAATGAACGAAATTCGAATTTAAGCTTAAAACACTAAAAAAAACACCCTGTATACATGGGTACGTCTGCAACCGTCGGACCACAACCGCTGTTCATAATATTATTGTCGTCCAAAGCGCTCGTCGACGACCGTCTATTACGAATATTTATTGTCCCGAGCATACAGAATCAAATTATTAATTATTTTAAATTGCCTAACAATTAATTTTTGTGCATATACAATATACTTTTTACAATTACTATACGTGTACGTTTTAATCTATATGTTCGTGTATACACGAGCAGTGTGTAAGGAATATATATTTTTTTTTAGAATATTATTATGAATATTATTCAAGTATGTCTACCTAAGATGTTATTTATGAGTACACACGGGAGGGGGGAATCGAAATTGTAGACCGTATTATTCATATTAATATATAATATAGATTATAACTGTTGTACTCGTATTTCCCAGAATATTACATTATATTATGTAATTATAACAATATTATTTTTATGTTATCGATTTATTTGATCGAGTATTGGAATATTATAATAATTTTTGTTCTATTTAATATAATACAAACTGTAACAAACGCGTAAGTGTGTAAATTGTAGTGCCTAAATCGATAGAAACATAATATGGTTTAAGAGAAGGCACCACAGGGAGCATCTTCAGGTCAAGTTTATGGGAAGAGGGGGAGAAGCATTAAAATATTTGATAAGACGCTTTTTTGGAATAATTAGTTTTTAAGAATTATAGATGTATATAATAGATAAATGTCGTGATAGATATATGGAATATTATACGGCGTAGGTACGGGGAGGGAAGGGTTAAGACAATTGTACATGTTACCTATGCGTTTAGATTACAAAATTGTTTAGATGACAATATTTTCTCGAGGAAATAAGTACTTACCTACCATACTTAGAATCTACTTACGTTACTATTTTTCTAAAATTTTATATTACTAAAAAGTTAAGGCCTTCTTAGCTACTTACCTACTATTCAAACGTCGTGCACCGTGCAACCATACTAATTTTTCACTGCCCTACTCCTACCCAAATTTAAAAGTAGAAATCTCGTCAATGGGTTAACGGAAATTAAGCTTTTCAACACCGCTAACATTTATTCAAACTAATACTATTTTATTATTTAGTCTGTACACCCTTTCAGATGAAATAATTTCAGTATTTCACCATTTTTTGGGGGGAATTAGTAAGTATGATTTTACTTTTTAGTAGATACTTATATAGTTTAGTATTGTATTATCTATTACCTACAGTACATAATCTGGTTTTTGGAAAAATATTTTTTTTAGATTAGACAGGTAGGTAATAATAAAATAGGTGATTAGAAATTTGGAGCAAAGCTCGGAGTTTTGAGTTGGTTTTTTTTAAGAAGCTAGTTTACTATTTATATTATTTTTTAAAAATCGAATACCTAGGTCTTCTATAGTTAATATTAGTTTAGTAAAAAAAAAAATGATCAAAATTTTACACAAATTTTAATTACTTTAATTTGTATTGTCGGTTTTAATTAAAACTGAGACAGTAAATCAGTAAATGGGGGCAATAATGGATACATTTAAAAGGTACCTATTAATATTATTATTATTTTTTTTTTTAAGTATTTACTGTTTTTTAGATTCTAAGATCAGCAAAGACACTTATGGTTTTACAAAGATGTTTCTTTTTTTTTTCTGTGGACAAATTTTCTACCAGAGATCTATTTTTAAGCGTAGCATCTTTACTGAAAGTAAATCTGACTGGAGAGGTACGTTAAAGAGGTCATTTTTCGATTTTAAAAAAAATTGTTCCCAGCAAATGTAAAAAACCGGGAACAAACAGTAAAATCGGATCAATATTAAAAAAAATATGATTAAAGAAAATATATGCCTATTTAATTATTCCACCATTATACAATATATTTATTGCCTCAGTCCTATCCGGTTAACTGTCAGTTCATTTAGGTACACGTTCAGTTCAGTTAATCGTTGTTTTATCATCCGCTTTAGGTCAAAATTCAGAGTAGGCCTGGGCCTGATAATAAATATAATTTGTAATGTCATCTCACTTCAGCGAATCCAATTTTACCGGCAAAAAAGTCGGTTTTGTACGAAATAAATGTAGAAATTATTGAAATAATAAATCCATTTTTTTTAATTTTGGTATTTATCTATAAGTATATATTTGATTTTTTTTTTAATTTTTAATATATTTTTAGATTTTAAGTGTAGCAAACAATATTTTTGTTTTACAAATATGTTTATTATTTATTATATGAAATATGAACACTATTTCTACCAGAAAGCTTACTTCAGTGTATACGATATAGACCCTTTTTTGAAAGAAAATTTTCTAGGTGAGGTAATTTAAAGAGATTATTTTTCGATTTTCTTTGGAGTTTTTCAACAAATGTGAAAAACCGGGAAAAAACATGGGAAAATTGGAAAAAACGGGATAATTGGTATAATATTAAACAAATATTATTAAAGAAAATATATAGGTAATACCTATTTAATTATTCCACCATAATATGACGTATATATTGTTGAAAAAGCATCACTATCAACTGAACACTGCTCAGAATCGTTTTTTTGTTAGCAATGGTTTATCATTGCTTACCGATATACATTAAATTCCCTTTTGAATCCTACTTTTCCAACTTCTTACTAACAACAGTGGCTGCACCCATCCCTATTATCTTAG